TCAAAGAAGTTTCACATCTTTCACATCATCCTTGGTTTAAAGCTTGGTTATATACATTTTGTCCCTAGGAAGAATAACGAATAAAGAGTACTTTAAGCTGTCATAGTTATCATGTACAGAATATAATTGCTCAGGAATAAGATCTTAAGTTCAAATGTCTGCATTCTGTTGTCCAAGATCATATATTGTAGGTTATAGCTTTTGTTTGGTGTGCAGCAAAGCAAGATTGTGTGATTTACTCCTTTAGGAAGAAAAAGAATAGGCTATTTTTTGTCAAAACTGAGAAGGAAATTTGTGTTTTGCGTGTATCGTAAACATCTACAGTTTTCATTCTTGGCATAGTTCAGTTGTTTTAGTTCTGTGTATTGGGACTAGGCCTTCACGGTTTGTTCATAAGCAGGGCCTAAGCTTCTCCAACATGCAATATATATCTTTTTGATGGAACTGGAAAACTTTTGGTATTGATGATCATGGGGTATAAAGCTTTTGTGCTTTTGGTGTGATTGTCATGAACGGGATGGGATGGCAGACAAGTCGTATATGTACAGATAACTTCTTAAAGTAGAAGGCACAAACACGGTCAAATTGTGGGGAAATTGGGAGATTGGAACAGAAGCTGAAGTTTGAATGCAAAAGGTATCTTAACAGTAAAATTTTCTACTTGTAGTTAGATCAAACAACAAAAGTTAATCGTGTAAATGATTGCAACTTACTTATTACCAAGTTTTATAGTAGGCCTAGACATTAATTGTCAGTCTTAAAGAATTCTATAATCTTTAAACTTAATGATGAAAATTGCTTAATGTTAAGTTTCCTAATGAAGACAATGAAAGAGTTAATATCTCTCACCCTTGACTGGCTGCAGCTGGGTGTCCCTGGGTGGATCATAATTCTGGAGAATTAGTCTCTCTGGCAGATTTTCCTGCTGGAGAGGAGAAGATCCAGCAATGTTCTGGGAAGGTGTATGGGAAGTCCCCTGATCAAAGATGGGACCAGGCTTTGATAGAACAAAGTGTGGATTGACTACTGTCATTTAACTATTTAGCCATACCTCCAGCATCTCTCACTGGAGAATAAAAGGAAAATAGTAGAATCACAGAATCACAGAATATTAGGTGTTGGAAGGAACCATCAAGTCCAACCCCCTGCCAGAGCAGGACCAAAAAACCCCAAAACCAACACAAAACACCAACAAGGGCAGATCACTCAGAAAGACATCTGGACAGGTCTTGAAACTCTCCAGAGAAAGAGACTCCACAACCTCTCCGGTGAGCCTGTTCCAGTGCTCTAACCATCACAGTAAAGTTCTTCCTTATGTTCAGGTGGAACTTCCTATGCTCGAGTTTGAATCAATTGCCCCTTGTCCTATCACAGGGCACAAGTGAAAAGAGGTTGTCCCTGACTTCTTGATGCACTGCCCTTATGTATTTATAGACATTAATTAGATCCCCCCTCAGTTTTCTGCTCTCTAGACTGAAAAGCCCCAGGTCTCTGAGCCTTTCCTTGTAAGAAAAAACCATGAAGGCCCTGTTTCCTCCCAAGCAAACTCTTTTGTTTGTCTGTTTGTTATTACTTTATCTCCTTTCCAGGCCTAGTTGTAGCTAGGTTGGGTTCCGTTTTCTTCAACACTGGTAAGCACCTGGTGTTATGTATGTCAGCTTGGCCCTCTGTACCTTTCAACGTTGTTACCAGCTCAGAGTTTGCTAGGCCATTTCCTTTCTCACAGGAGTATTTCCACTTCAGGCCTGGGCCTCCAAAACTGAGAGACAAAAAGCAGTTGAATCTTAGAGGGAAAGTGAGGCAGGCATATTGAGAGATGGAGCGTCCTGCTACAGTGACTCGCCAAAGAGGAGAGGCTGCTGAATCCCGGGAGCCTGAGAAATGGCCTGTTAAGATCCTGGGTGAGGTGTCTGCCCTTCACCTTTCTTTCAGCCTTTACTTAAAATTCTGCAGCTCCCCTACACATCTGACCCATGCATTTGTGTCTTAGTTTAACCAGTTTGTATCTACATTTGCTTAAATTTCCAAGTTGAGTTTGTACTAACATTCTGAATTGTAAACAAGCATAGTTGAAATGAAGGCAGACATTTGTTTTAGTATACCAGTTATATGTGGAGCAACCTCCAGTGTAAGGACTGGGCAGATGGCCAGGAGCTGTACTGTCTTAAAGTACCCATTATTAATCACTTATATCCCCTTCACTAGCAATTCTTGTATTACTTCATGGGGAAAAGTTATGAATCATATTTTATCCTAAGTATTGAATTGTGCTGCTGGCTCCATTTTGAAAGTGGATGCAATGATGTGTTCTACAAAACACGGATACAGAATACTTTATTTGGGAGTTGGTGCATTCCCATATTGAATTCATATGAATGAAATGGCTGTTGTGCATGAATTTATTAATACACATAACTTCAGAGGTGATAATTTTTATTACAGTCATTTGAATACAAATTGACTAGAAGTCCAGAAGCTGACTTTCTTGGGAACTTTTAATCCAAATAAAATGCTGGGCTGCCTCTGTCCTGATGAACTAGTGTCTTCTTATAGCCACAGCACCCACAGATTTCTGGGATTTGTGTTGGTGCTTCATTCTGAGAGACAGAATCCAAACAGAGGGGTGCAGTCAACATGACCAGAAGAATGAAGAAGTATTTATTTCCATAAAGTGCTGTCAAAATATTTTAACAGTTACATGGTACATCTTGTCCAATAAAATGAAAGTAAAAAGTCAACAGATTTAAATTTTTATATATTTGAGATTAAACCCAATGTCAAAATAGTGAAACTTCCCACAACTGGGAATAAATATTTGAAGTCCACTCAGTACTTACAGAAGTAAGTACTTGCCTCCACTCTCTGGACCAGTTGGGGCAGCAGGGAGAAGTATAGAGGAGTATTTTTACTCCTTACTTCTGTTTCCCTAAATTGCTAATCTCTGTCTGTGAAGCTACTAAATTTTAGTAATTTGATTTATTTCTTTTGGATTTCCATCAGCAATTTAGGCCTCAGATTAATTCTCTAATCTTATGTTTAGCCAATATTTACTTAGCTTTCAGAAGACAAAATTCTAAGTCTTTTCAAAGTATGTATTCTTTGGAAGATGTCTTGAATGTCTTAACTTCACCTGTCATCTCTTGAATAAAGTGTACTGTTAAGAGTATAAACTCAATAGTGATTTAGTTATTGAGATATCAAAAAGAAAATAAGAAGTGTTCTTTTTCTTTAAAAGACAGCTTGAAATATTACATGGATGAAATTCCAGTTTTATTCCAAAGACTGGAGTTTTTTATTTAATCTTTTTATTCTCTGTGCAAATAAGCAAAGGTCTGTTCTGTTCTTTTACATTAAAACTAGTTGATGGATTGCAGACTTAAGAATAAATGTGCTTAAGGACAAAGTATTTATGGATAAGAACTTTCCAGCAAGAAAAGTTTGGCATTCTAGCATTTTTCGGAGTTAGCTCTTCAGGCTTGTAAGAGAGCAGTTGTAATCTTTGCTGTGGAGTGCAAAGTTGGATGTGAATAAAAATACGTTTGTTTGAGGAAAGGGGTGGGAATTGTTGGTGGTAAAGCTGAATAATGCTTGTTGCAAGTGTGTTGAATTTATGCTGTCTTTAAACATGAGCACTGCTTTCTAATGAATTTAAATGACACTTGTTTATGCTTTTTTTATCAAGCACTTTCCTCTTACCAGTGGATTTAATTTGCAGAGTTAATGCACTTGTTAACTCTTCTTCATTTCCAAAACAAATAGCACTGTTTTTTGTAAGACTAAAGATAAAGAGGCTTATTTATTAGTTAGGAAGAATCTTTGGAGATGCACATGTATGCATTTCATGTGCACGTGTGAGCATAACTACATAAATGTATATAAAATATGCACATAGTCAGAGCTTAGCATATTAAAAAGTATATTCCCTATTGATTTAACTAGATATATTTTTCTACTGGCCCAGATAATGCTATTTACAGTGAAGCATTAGGAGAGTTCCTCAAAAGACAGGAAATGTCTCCATTAGCTGGAGCTACTTTTTGTCATATAGATCCTCCTTTACTCTCCAAACCACAATCAAAATCAAATTCACATTCTGCTGATTTTTTGGAACAGTTTGAACATACAGCTTGCACAGTGTAGTTATTTTCAGAACACTTTTAAATAGCAATAAACAGCAGTAAGAAGATGTACTACAGCAGGCCGTGTGACACACTGCAAGGCTTATGTGTTGCACTCTGCATTATATGGTCTTAACCAAAATTTTAGAATATTAAGAGGATACTTTCAAGTGCAAGACTTAAAATATGGTGTAAAATTTTATTGGTATGTGGCCAAATCTGAATTGAAGATGAGAAATTGCACATATTTACAACATTTATTGCTCAGCAAAACAACGACAGTGTTCTCAGCCTTATTCAAATTCTCCTACGGTATCGCGACAACTTTGGAGTGATCATGTAGACTGTGTGTTTGAAAAATAATAAAAATCCAATTTTCAGTTTTAAGAAGATTTATTTATTTAAACTCTATAAATACTTTGAGCTTTTGCTTCTGTCAGTCATCAACAATGCAAAGGAATAACATTCAGCTAAAACCTTGCAGTGAGAATGGGAATTAAATCTTAAAGAAGCCTGGTTGTTACAATCAATACCCAAGCTGTTTAGGTGACAGGTACTCACTATCTAATTGATATAAATTATTTTCTTTGTTTTATACAGGGTTTTTCTAATTCCTTTGCTTCCTGCCTGTGTAGCTACTGGTTGAAGCGGTCCACTGGAGACCTGTCTACCATTCATATAATCTCCATGACTGATATGGAGGTAAAGAGGTTTTTTCCTTTTTCACAGGTCTTGCAGTCATTCCCCCAACCATGGTTTCAGTGAGCACATTCAGGCTTCTTGCAAAAAACAGCTCTGCCAGCTGAATGGCAGGAAGCTTATGAGTTTATTTACCAGACTTCTTGGGATGTATAAGCCAGTTTCTGCAGCTCTAAAAAGGATATGACTGGTGCAGTAGTGATTTTCTGCACGGAAGATGGATGCCTGCAGGAGTTATGTACTGCAGATATTTTAGAGAACCCAGAAAAGACTACACTCTCATACAACACTCCCAAACAATTCTGCTAGCCTGTGATTTTGTCTCTATCATTATCTTCTGTAGGATTATATCTGTGGGAAACCAGTTTATATAACTGTGCTTTACTGTGAAACAAGGAATTATTTTCCCTGGTGTTATTTAATGTATTTTGGCTCTAAAGCATACCTCAGTTTCCTGTGTTTGTTATATCCAGTAGGGAAGAGCAAGAGGGGCATAGAAAGCATGTGTGCCCCATCCCAGCTAAGGCTGGGACTGAACTGAAACTCTATTGTGCCACTTAGTGACTACTAAGACAGCTACCTAGCTGGGACTCTTTTGATTCTGACTGTTCTCTATAATTTCTAACACTGCCAAAGGGAAACACATGAGTTTTGTTTATTGGTCACTAACTATTCTGTGATGGGTGTCAAATTGGTACACTGCAGTATTAATGGCTTTTTTTTCTGAAAATAGTACATGCTCCCTGAAACAGGAGAGTAAGTCTCTCATAGTCACTCAAGTACTAACACCTCATGAGAAATGCTTACTTTAACCAGTGTTTTTCTCTTGTTCAGTGTTTGTCAGATTCAACTCCAGCCATGGCTTCCCGGTGGAGGTTGGGTCGGACATCAACATCCTGCAGTTAAAGGAGGTGGTTGCCCAGCGACAGGGAGTTCCAGCTGACCAGCTGCGGGTGATTTTTGCAGGGAGGGAGCTCAGCAATGACTTGACACTGCAGGTAAGTCTCCCTTGGTAGCTTTGCTTCTGGACTGGTGCCAGCTACACTGCCTCTGCTTCTAATGTTGCCAATCTGACATTCATGCCTGAGATCTAATAGAATAAATAGTGCCTGGGGATTCCTTGAACTTTACTCCACACTGCTTCATTAATTCTGACCTTCTTAATTATGCATTAAAACAGCAAGCAGGAGGATAGGGGAAGGGAGAGAATACAAGAGAGAGATCATAAGAGGGAGCTGTGCCTACTGAATAAATGTTTACTGACTACAGAAGCAAGCTATGCACAATTTCTGTATCTGTTCAATTTCTATCTTACTTATTCGATTTGAATCTTAATGAAGAAGGATGTGAATAAATTGCTTTAAATCAGGTTGCACAGTCATCACATTTTATAGAATTTGTAACCCAATTGTGACCCCTGGAGGTTAGCTACAGGGCTGCTGTTCCTCCATGTGCTGCTGCACCTGAGTGCAGGTGCATGTGTTGCTGGAGGGATGGTTCCAGATCAGAAAGTCCACAGAATTGTACTTGGAGACACTGAGTTCATAAAGGTGTGAAACTAAGAGAGTAGCAGGGAGCATGGAAGAGCAGTTATAAGCAGGTGTCTGAATTTCAGCTCCTGGTAGTTAACTGTTCTCTTCAATGAATTCAGAGAGGTGTTAATCTGTGTTGAGTGGGAAGCACGGAAAAATAGGTTCAACTTTATCTTCCTTGTTGTCTTTTTACCACTACAAGTGCTGTCCCAGTTGCTTTACAAATATTTTTTTTTTTTGTCCTGTATGTGGGTTTGGCAGTTCACTTGGGTAGCCACGGCTTAGCATAAGATAACACATTTAAGATATCTGGGAGACTTGGGGAAACCTAGTGGCCTTTTGACAGAGTGCAAATACTGATATAATGAAATTGCTGTCCTGCAGTGGTATCAAAGAACTGCAGATGCAATCTGTAGTAGTATAGGTGATTGTATAAAAGATCTCTCACAGGCAGAACTATTTCAGATTCACTGGCACTCATATTTCAGGCATATTGCTGTACATAGAATGGCTGCTAAGTCTGGGTACAGAAAGTCACTACTGTATTGATGACCTATCACTGTTTCTCCTTGGATATGGTATTTATTGCTTTGCAAAGGCTTTTAGGCATTTTCAACACACAAAGGAAGGTATAGAAATGCCAATTGTTGTCAGTCTCCAATGCATCACCCATGGATCTTCATGGCATAAATGGCAATGTACTCCACTTAATTATATATAAAAACATCTATATGAAAATGTAAAAATAAAAAATATATATAGTGAATTGTAGTTGTCAGGGTCCAGTTGCTAGATTTGAGTTTCTGTGTTGTTCTGTCAGAAGTTTATGAACCACATAGCATTTCCTGGGAAGCTGTGGGTATTGGTGTTTTTGCCATTTTATGTCAGCATGAAATACAGATTTTGAGCCCAGTTTTGCACTTGTAGCCAAATTTGTTGTCAGCTAAAACTGTTGGCCACAGTAAATTAAAAATTGCTTTCCAAAAATACAGTCCTGCTGATTACTTAATTCATTTCATGGGAATGTCAGAATTATCTTGTGTAGTCAAGACTTTTTATTATTTAGTAAGCTGGACTTATTGTTTTGACTGAGCTTCAAAAGTGGATAGGAAGTTCAGAGCTGTTTCAAATGCTACAGTCCATACTTCTGTATTTAAGTGTTTTAAATATTGCCATGATTAATGTCATCAGTGGTATATCAATTCCATTTTTATTATTGGTATTTAATTACGTGTATTTTATTCTGCTTCTGTGTTTGCAGTTATTTGTGTCATATATTTGTGTATATGTATTTATATATTGTGGAAATTTGTCAGTACAAGAAGAGCAGTTGAGGGTTTGAGGTGTTTGAGTTCGTATGATAGGCTGTTTGGGGCTTGTTGCGTAAGAAGCTGAATGCTGGTAAAACTTGAGTGCTAGTGAAATACTAACTGCTGGCATTTGTGTTGCATCTGCAATTTCAGAGCTAACATCACTTACAAGCAAATTAACTAACTGTTTCCTGGAACTGCAGAGTTGCATGCAAAATAAGAAAAATACTACTTTGATTTGTACTGAGCTGACATTTTAAAAGTAATTTCATTTGATGGTAATAGAGAATTTATAGTAAGACCATTTTGTTCTTCCATTTTTCAGAAATTACTTTTGAACATATTTACCCAAGATACTATGGGAGAATCTACAGGTCAGAAAGGAGAAGTGATAGTATTAAGATTGACAGATTATAGAGGACATGGGAAAAGCTGGGGCAGTGATATAGGAAATACTCAAGGATAGCAAACCATTGGTTTCACAGCTCACAGAGCAACTAGATTTGGCTTGACAGATACTTTAGGATCTCAGGCAGTCAATGCAAAACATAACTGAGAATATGAACGCTGCATTTGTTTTCCTGTTTGGGGAGAAGGAAAAACCTTGCATGGGAGCTGAAACCTGTAAGAAAGAAGTGAAGCTGGAATGGACAAACATTAAAGACAAATTATTATAAGAAAGAAACTGCCAAGCTGAGATCTTAAAGAAATAATTTGGTATCAACAACAACAGTAAAAAAGTATCCTTCCTTGTAGGAAGGATAGAAGTGAAATACGTGTAGAGACATTTAATTTGGTGGCTCAGATGGATGTTTCATCCTTGAAAAAAAGAGATTAGACACTGACTCAGCTGTGCATGGGGGAGGGTCAAGTAGTGAAATTAGAGTTGCGATAAGGAAAGTTTGGTAGTAACTGGATTAAGAATGTGGCCTGCAAATTTGGGTCTCATAATGAGGAATTAAAGCAATAAGCTGTTTCCTAAAAGCACAGCAAATGGTGTCTCTGAAGGGGTGCTAAATATTTCAAAGAATGATGAAGCTCCCTGCTGCTTACAGTTCACTTTGGAATGAATAGAAGCAATTAATTAATATGTACCCAAAATAGGAATTCTTTTAGAAGGCTGTCGTGAGTGTACGAGAATAGTGGTAAGATCTTCTTCTGGCAATGGTAAGAGCAGAAGAACAGAACAATAAGAGATTCACTAAAGGAATAAACCAGAGGCAGTTCCACATAAGGACACTGAAGTGTTGTTAACAGTTGGTTACTGCTTACAAAAATATTGTCCTTGCCTCCAAGAATGGCAAAATTAGTTAACAACCCTTCTGGAATCAGAGAATGTAATATTTATTGATATACAATTCTGCCCAATGCAAACCCTTTCAAATTTACTACTGGTAATAGCACTATTGTATTAGTATGGGCTTGTCCTTTCTTAGAGAACTCAAAATCCCCTTGTGTGAAGAAACTCTTTGCAAACAGTTTGTAAGAGATATTCTCTTCCTTGCGGAGCTTAGAGGGGAAATGAATAAGGCAGACAAATGATGAGATGGGAATCAATAGCCTGACTTTTTCACAATCAGTAGCAAAACAGAGATAGAATTAAGTCTTCTGTTTCCCAATCCAGTACCATTTCTTTTTGACAGTATTTCTTCTACGAGGTAAATGCAGAAAATACACTTCTTTCAAATATAAAAGGACTAAGAATGTGATTATTAGCAACACGGGTTAGCTTTAGCATAGTGCTCCACTGCGGCAGGTTGTAAATCACAGTTAGCCTGCATTTGACTGGTGCATAGGCTTTAGGCTTGGAGCATAGGCTTCACATGAATTTGACTGTGACTGCATCCAGATGTATAGATGCTTTTCTATGATTATTTATATGTACATTTAAGAAACAAACAAACATGACTAGAAGTATTGTTAAACACTAGTGTGTAAGCTGATGAGCATAACTGAAAATAAATAAAAAGGAATGGCATAACTGGAGCAGCAACGTAGATGATCATCTCTACAGAGGAGGAAAAAGAGAAGTGGTAGGGGGGAAGTGGTGCTACTAGTAATGTTAGTGTGCGGCAGTTTGACAGTGTTTTGGAAAGAGTATGCTTTGTTGTGGAAAAGTTTCTGAATAGTAAACATTAGAAGTCAATCCAGAGGGCACCTGCATTCTACTGAAAGCACTTCCCAGTGATATTGTGTGAGAAGCTCAAGGACAGGGAGAGCACCTTGTGACAATGAGTCCCAATGTATATCTCTCATGTTCTAAGTATTTATGAAAAGAGGGTATTACCCTCAATGGTTAATGGTTTTTAGTGAATAGCTTTTTTTTTTTTTTTTTTTTTTTTGTTTTTTAGCAGAAACAGGTACTTGACCAATGGAACGCTGCATTAAATCAAAGAGGGATCTTGCATGCCTAAATGTATGGCAACTTCCCTGCTCTCTAAGCACAGCTCCAACAACACAGCTTCTAGTTGTTCTTGTAGTTTTTGTAACTGGGGTGCTACAGAGGTGGCTTCCGTGAGAAGCTACTGGAAGCTTCCCCATGACCAATAAAGCCAATGCCAGTTGGCTCAAGATGGACCTGCTGCTGGGTAAGGCCAAGCACATCAGCAGTAGAAGCACCTCTGTGGTAACATAGTGCTTCCGTTTCTGCCTTTCCAAATCAGTTTCAGTCCTTTCCATCCAGCATCCGTTGCCCATTGCAGCTTTGACCTCGCTTAGGAAACTAATGGTTCTTTCTATTACTTTCCTTTCCTAGCCTATGAAATAAAGAGGTCAAGAGAATGAGAAAACCTAGTTGCCTTGCAGATCTGCTCTATGTACCAATGAGCTGACTCTTTTTTCTACCTAGGTTTTCTGTCTCTCATTGGATGATATGTTCCTTTGCTAACTGTTGACCTCCTTGTTTTCTGATCTTGTATCAAACCAAGAAGCTGTCAGATCTGCAGAAGGCTCTAGAGCTACAGGATAATTTGTAGTGGATTATTTCCCTTCTGGGAAATCTGGGAGAAGATCATCTCATGTATAAAAGGTTATCACCTAATATTAGCTAGTTTTGAAAAGGTATAAAATAGTGTCAATTTCTTTGTTAATGAGGTTGCACTTGCCATGAAGAGATATGTACATGACACCACAGCTGTTGGCTTTGTAGTAGAATTA